CGAGGCCCTACTACTGAAAGATCTATGCCATGTAAGTTGGCGCATTGAATCTCGTTGTTCGCCATTGCTCTGACACCACAGTAGCCCAACATTATCAGCCTCGAAAAAGTGATACAAACTAATTTCCATATGTAAGTGTGTTCACAGACCTGCACATGGGTCATAGCTAAAGAAACGTAGCTATCTCTTTCAGGAGCTGGTACCTGGTGGAGACCTGTTCTCTTATATCCAGTACAAAGGGGGGATGCTGACTAACATGGAGGCTGCAGTCATAATCAGGCAGCTGCTGATGGCTTTGGATTACTTGCATGATCAGGATATCGTTCATCGGGACCTGAAACCAGACAATATACTCATGACATCTTTGGATGACGGATGCAGGGTGGTGCTATCTGACTTTGGATGCGCCACCCGCAGCCCTGGACGAATGTCAACAATGGTTGGCACATTCGAATATAGTGCTCCGTTAGTGCTCTGATCGTTGCAGTTGTTTGGCGCTAACTCCAGATCAGAGAAGTCATAAATCCTAGTCAAAAGGGTTATACGAAAGCCGCAGACATGTGGTCGCTAGGTTGCGTAACAGCGGTCTTACTCACAGGTAGTACTTCGTGCGATGGCTCAATGGCAACGTACGCGATTGACTTGGCTAAAATCGGTGGGTATGAGAAGTTGGAAGCGAGTCTTACCAGACATTCTGCGCTTCCCCGAGCAAAGGATTTCATTCAACGCCTCCTCAGGATTGTCGCAGAAGAGCGCATGACTGCCAACCAAGGGTTGCAACATGCGTGGTTCAGCAATCCCGTCCATTCGTCCGAATTTCGAGAACTCTACTGTCGATCAATCAAAAACTGGACTCCATGCTCTCCCCAAGCGCCGATAATCGTGGATATCACCAGCTTGAATTGCTTCAATGACCAAACGCTTGCTCGGGAAGCAGCGAGTAATACAAAGAGCCCCAGCTCATCACTCGAAGATCTCTCCGGTCACGAGATTGCTTCTCCTACTCTATCGGATCTCAATCTACCTCCACTCTCAGTCTGAGGGGTCAACAGCGAACGGTGAACTCGTGGGACATGGAGGGGGGATATGCCAGAAAGATAGGCTAATATTAACACGCTAGCTATAGCATAGATAGATCCATAATATCTTTGAAATGGCAAACCACAGAGTTTTCCAGTACGAAAGACCTCGAAGAAACAGTAAAAAGTAATCGAACAGACAGCGTTGCCGTACGTATCGCAATATTAAGCATCCAGGCCAGACAAACAAACAAGGGCGCATCCCGAACGCCCGCAAAAAGGCGCTTTTTTACCCTAGGCCTACACAGTCATGTCTCAACCGCTCCTTGTAGCACAAACCAGTAAGCGCCAATAGTGCCTAGCATAGTAAGTATACATCTTTGCGGTCATTACCAGAGACTCACTCACTCATCCCCGTTAATCAACTACACTATTACTAACATCATAGTACCTCAATCCTAACTTTAATCCATTCTAGACCACGGGGTCCTTGAATTCAATTGGGTAGAACAGGGGCTTTTGGAAAGTATATTCAGTGGTGATAATAGCAGGAAGATATAATTAAGGGGTGGGATGGGATTGGGATGTCCCTTTGTCTGGTCTGAAGGCTTGAAGGGAGAGCGGTAGGAGAGTGGGAGGGAGGGAGGGAGGGAAGGGAGGTATATTGGGGATACGTAAATCTTCGTGTAATGTAAGTTATTGTGTGGCAAGTGTTTTGTTTGATTCGGGTGAAGGATATAGGGAACGAGGCTGAGTTGGAAGTATTACAGATCTGGGATGGATCCAGACTGTAGATATAAGGTTGCTTTTATTATTATGATAGAATCCAGGACCACTATGGTGTAGGGGTGTTATATACTAGGGTGAGGTGGTGAGACTAGGTCGATACTCTGATTACTACTAATGGTATAGTGTATAGGTTGGATCAAGGTACCCCAAACTGTATCTATGTGTGTGGGGCCGACGATCTATGTCTTAAGGCTGTACCTAGTAGTGTACGTGGTCGGTTATTACTAGAAGTAGTAATACTAAAAGACTCCTTTCACCGTAAAGTTCTATAGTAGACGCTTGATATACTTCCTATGAGATGCACGTTGACGTCGTGTGTTCGGACTACTGGTGCTGCGGAGGGACGTAACCAATAACAGTGCATCAAGGGGTAGCTGATGAAAAAACCTCCTAGGTGGATCAAGAAACCCGTGCAGGTGTCAATCGCCCTGCACCTGCATGTGCTGTGATTCGCATAGGTAGTTAGTAGATTAGATTCCCCCGGGAACCGGTGGGAAAATTGTCCGATAGGGTGTGGTGTCCCTTGCGTGGATAGTGGATGCTGCGCAGAGGCTGGGGGAGAGTAGGGATGAACGGAAAGGTGGGTAGAGTTAGAGAAACAGGGCAATAGGTTTGAGCTGAGTTTTCTCTCGTGCTGATGGTTTGCGCTTGTGGTGCTATTCTAGGGGATCTTCTGAGAGGGTTGCTAATCGTAGTACTAAGATCGTCAACCCTTGTCTGGGTTCTTTGGTTTGGTCTCAGGCTCTGGCTTTGTAGAGGCAGGCTGGGGCTTTTTGATGGATTTGTCTGGTTCTGGGCCCAGTGTAGGTGATGCCAAAACGACGAACGTATCTGTTGTTAGTTCTCCATGCTATGTCAGTCTGAATGGGGGATGTTTGTGGCAAATTCATTGGGGCAGTCGTAGAATATACCCGTCCGGAGATATCTTCAGCTGCGAGATAATGCGATGCAGCAGACCGTGGGCAATTTCTCCGAGTGCAACCTGGAGTTGCACTGATGAAGCAAGGACAAACAAAGGAGGGTAGGCAGAAAGAAACGATGGGCAACATCAACGTGCAGTCATCTGACGCATATTATCCCGAGGCGGCTGGGGAGCTACTAGTAGTCGTAGGCACGATCTTTGAGACACGAGCCAAAATAACAGTGCATAGCCACCTGGAGTCACGATCCTGTGTGAAGGAGGTCAAAACCTTGCCCTGAGCAAGAATGTGGACTTGAGAAAGGGAAGATCCGTGAGTGTCCGGGAAAGAAGCAAGGGAGGGCAGGAGGAGGGGGGGACCCGATAAGCCGGAGCGATAGGAGGAAACAGTGGACAATGGGTCTCTTGCTCTACCAGCGAGACACAACTGGTTACTGGAGGGATGCTTGTCTTGCGTTCAAGACAACAACGACCAGATTCATCAGTCGTTGCGGTTCATCGGAAGCCCCGGCTAGAGGAAGTTCGATAAATCCAATGAGTGCGATGACGGTGATGCTGATGACCGAGTCGGTCACTTGGAACTGAAGTCATCGAGACATTCGATGAGTCCAGCCGATTGGTCACCTGCGTTGCTCGCCACTGTTGATTGGTGAACGCGCTTCCGCCAGACGCGCTACTCACGCGACGCGACGCGCGACGCGATGGCGTTTCAATTTTACCTGTCTGGGAAGTGGCCCCAAAAAAAGATGTTCATGTATTGATTTCTTTTTATTCGAGGAAAAAGCAGAACTTCTTAGGGCTTTAATCAATTCTACGGAAGGGAAAAAGCACTTCATATGTAGACATCTCGTGGTGATAGGGAGTAACTGAGGGACTGAATCATTTTCCCCTAAGTATCCAGGTTATCGAGGGTTGCCATCCCAACCAAAAACTATATGGACGTATCCGCTGTAAGAGGGATAGGACACATGATCGATCAGTATCAGCCCAGCATCAGCTATCTATCTACCCCGATTATACCAAGCTGCATGGCGCATCATGGCTTCGTAGATAGGTATAGATCAACTTCATCCAGGCGTATACTCCGTAATACGCAATGCAAGCTGCAATGCAACAGCCTCCTGTCCCACACCGGTCCGGCCCATCCCAGTCCAGACGGGTGATAGCTCCTCTCCTCTCCTCTCCTCTCCAGCTAGTGTCGATGCATTTGACATCAAGTGGACACGGCGATGGGGAAATGCCGCAATGGGTGACCCTGCGAGGAGACGCCTTGCAGCGCGCATCCCCTCCGAAGTGGCTCCTGCACTCCTTGTCTCACTCCACCCTCCGGAGGGGCATTAAGAGAGAGGAGATATAGAGGGATGAAGGCAGTGTTCGACCTTCAAAAATAGGCCTTTCCCCTGTTCTCAGGGCAGGAATGAGAGGAGGAAGAAAAGCAGAGACATGAGAAACAAAGAATAAAAGAGAAAAGAGAAAAGAACAAACCTGAGTTTGAGTCCAGGAGGCAACGAAAAGGCAGGCAGGCATGAGGGCGACCGACCAAAAGTGTTACTGGTCATTCTTTGTACACGTTCGATGTCATCCATTCAGTTTGTGATATCACATTCAATTCCAGCTGAAGGCCGGTCAATCATTCCTATACCTGCCACCGCATTCAACTGCTTCTTACTTCTACCCTCCTCCTTCACCGTCCATCGACACAAGAGTGGCTTTGTTTAGTGTGTGTTTGGGAATTCTGCAGCCCGGATTTAGACTTTCCAAGAGCCATTGTTGCCGGTCATTGGGCCAGAAGCTGGGTTCCCCCCGTTTGCGGAACCGAACAAAAACGCCAGAAAAGCCCGCTGGCATCGGATCTCTCCTTTTTCGCCCATTTTCCCACCCATTTCCTTTCTCCGACATCATCCCATCATCATCTTCCTCTGGTTTGCGCCGCTTGAATATCCTCTCTTCGCCTCCCACTCCCACTCCTCTTCGCTGTCATTCCCTCGTCGCATTTCCCCCGGACTTACTCCAAATCAAAGCGCTTGCTGTTGGCATTTCTTTCACACTCTTTCTGTCCCCCGATCTCTTGTTCTTCTCCTCCAAACCTCTTCCGGCGCAAACCTACATTCTTCGCGGGTTCCTCTTGATCCGCGCACAAACACTCCCGGCATCGACTGCCTCACCCCACCACCAACACCACCACCACTTCGCCAACTATCTAACTCATCTTCACTCCTTTGTCGTTTCATATGTCACTCATCCCTGGGAAATACCCATCTCCGTCGCGCAAGATGTTACTCCCATCTGCGCTTCCTAGCGACATGCCACAACAGTCGACCCAGTCGCATCTCGCGCCCAACCTACTATTCAACACTCCACCCCCCACCGAAGATGACCTCTTCCCATCAGGCAATGGCCTACTAGGAACCAGTCGCGCCCTCCAATCCCTTCTCAATATCTCTCCTGCTTCGGTCCCCCGTCGCAAGACTCCTCCACGTCTCCTAAGTCCCCTCCAGCTACGATCCCCTCCTCCCTCCCGGTCGCAGAAGCGTGTGGCCCAGAAGAAAGACTTGACCAACCTCACGCGCTCCTCCCCATCACCCTGCTCTCCCTCCAAACTTCCGCGTCGTGCGAACAAGCGCAACCGATCTGCCTATGAAATAGACCTTGACTCGGAAATTGAGGATCGCAAACCCTCCAAAAATGCCAAATCGCGCGACCGTTTCTCCACGCCCAAGCGTCGCAGACAAATCCCCAATGATTTACCACTAGGTCTTACACAGGAAGACTTCTACTCGCTTTATTCACCCCCGATCACACAGTCGCCTCTGTCGCCGGCGCATCGACCGCAAGAAGATTTGAGCGCAAGTGAAATAAACCCTCTGGAAATCTCACTATACAACCCCGACGCGCCGCTGCCGTCCATCGAGACAAACGATGAAAGCATAAAGTTCGCGTCACATGAACTAACGCCAATCGATGCGTCGCCTTCCTGGGTCGCAGAGGACGATCGACGGCTAGTGAACTTGGTTCTTGAACGATATCAATTCTCCGAACAAGTCTTGGATGACTGCGCCAGAGAACTGGGCAGAAACCACGAGTCCATCAGACGCAGATGGCAAACTCTCCTGGGCCAAGGGGAGATAGGCTTTGCGACGATGAGGAGCTAAACCAGACCCGTTGGGGACCTAAAATGGCCTCTTTTCGTTTTATTTCTCCTTGTCTGTCTACCGATCAAACTTTTCGTTCGTTTATTTTCTGCTTACGATACCGACTCTACTCGCTTCTGAACTTGCGCCTTTTTAAACCGCCAATACCCTGATAGCATCGCTACGCTACCTCCTGTATTATGACTTTGTGACTATTCGGCTCTCTTGTTTTACTTTTCTCACAACTTACGGGCTCATGTACGATACGGGATATGGATGGATTTGTTCTATATCTTTTCTTCTTCTTCTTTTCGTCTGGTGTTACTTTCGGGGATTTCAGATTGTGTTATTACTACCATTATCCTTACCTCTATTTCACGGTGCTGTGTGTGGTTTTGTTTCTACATTTCCGGGGTTACTTACATTATGTTTGTTTGTCCATCCATCGATCTGCATACATCAGAACTCTAATGTATGAACGGATAGATGTGATATGGATGACCATACTTCGGGGTTTTTCTCTTTTTTACTTCTTCATTTTCATGTATCATATGACTGACTATCTATGGCCGACACACACTGGTTGTGTATGTACTTTATTCTAACTGTACTATCTATCTATCTATCTATCAATCAATCTATCTATCAATCAATCTATCTATCTCTCAAGGTACCATCTATCCACGGGTTCATCCTATAAACTAAATGGGTTCTTGCTCCGCATGTATGTATGTCATCGTAACACTTTTTCCAAACAACATGGGTGTTTGAAACCTTAAGACTTCGCCCTCCATGGTAGTTAGGTATGTATGCATGTCAGGGAAATAGGAAACTTCCGGAATGGAAAGAAAGGCTTTAAATAAAGTGATGGTCCAAGCCAGCCTTTCATCATTTACTTTGTATTTAAATCACTAAAGGTATCAACAATAACTAACTAGGCAATAAGTAAGTAAGCAGTGCTACTGGAGCCGCTTCAGTCGTTGCGAAATGTAATGTAACGCTGTCTTCAATCGCAGTAAACTGTGTAGGTATTGATGGGATATGTGCATGAAATAAAGGGAAAAGAATAACAAGAAAAACATACCAAGATCGTTACTACTATAAGTTTTCAAGACAAACCATGAATTTGAGCAGATGTAAGCAAGCAGTAAAGTACTCCGGCTAAGTTGCAAATAAGAAACGAACTACCAATGCCATCTAAGTATGTCCATGACCAAACCCAGTAATGCCATTATGCCATGCATCAATCAGCCCCTATGTGCAAACAAGTGAACAGAACCTAGGAAGTATGAGTACAGCAGTACACATCCAACATGAAAACATGCAATCGATCAGTCAACGCCAGACACCAAGCTCAAAAGGTCGGGAAATTGGAATGGAAGCTATTGAGATATAGATAGGGGGGAATAGGACATCGGCCACCCTGTCTGCACTGATATATCAAACTAGAATCTGTTTCGCTGGGAGTTAGCACAGTAATCACCACCCCACATATATCTGCGCAAGGGGTTCACATCAAACGTACCGAATTTCATAACTGCCCGCGCGAGTCATGTACCGCACCCACTTCACACTGCTGTAGTTGCTCTTCTCGAATACCTTCAGGTACCGCACCAATAGTCCACTGCTGGTGAACATGAGAAGACTGAACGACAGACTAAGCGGTGGCCGACTCCAAGCCTTCTGGTGCGTCATGCTCGTCAACGTCGCTTCTGCTGTCAGGACGTATTCGCTTCCACCGGAAAACCGCGCGATCTTCCACACAATGTTATTATGTTCCGGCTCGTACTTGGCCCGACCCTGGCTGGTCCGTTCGGTCGTCTTGGCCGTGTTCAGCGGTGTTGGAATGCGAATCACAACGTTCGTCGCGAAGAGTTTCGAGCTGTAGTTGGCTTTGATAGCAACGCTGTATTCCACTTTGGTGGTGCCGACTTCACGCACGATCGGATGAACCTTGAAGGGCAGGTTGACGTTTTCAGTAGCGCGGTAGCGCATGAGCTCAAACTCGCCATCGGGAGGCACAAAGGAAATAATACGATCGGCGTCGAAGCGGCCCAGCTTGACGCACTGGTGGAACTGGCAGTCTTCGAGGGTGACGGAGCCCGCGGCCGCGCGGGTAGCCTTCATGGTACCATCGCGGTTGCCCGGGGTGGAGGAGCCAGCAGCATCAGTATCGAGGAGCAAGCGGTCATTGAGGCCGAATTTGCACTCTGGAGTGCCGGAGAGGTAAGCTCGCATGACGATTTGGCCGTTGACATCGGCGCGAAGGACAGTGCCTGTGGCGGACATGAGGAGGTTGACGTCTTCGATCACGTCGACAAAGGCCTCGTTCTTGCGGTATTTAACGTCGGCACGGCGCCAGGAGAGAGCGCCAGTGGCTTGCATGGTGATACGGCTGGAGTCGGTCGCAGAGTTGGCAATGGCGGATTTTACGCCTTCGGTGGTGATGTACATTTTCAGGGTGTCGGTCTCGGTGTTCTGAGGGTATCCGAAATCGAGGATTTCTATGAAAGAGAAAACTGCGGTTTAGTAATCTTTCCATTTGGTAGTATTCTCGAAAGCAGAGGTGAAGCGCACCGTCGAGCAACTCGTAGATCAGGACAAAGTTGTTCTTCACGGCCTCCTCATCGAGCTTCCCAAAATAGCTCTTTCCCAGCATAACCAATCGGTATAGAAACTCGAAGACCAGCGCGGCATTGGCATTGCTCTTGGTCACGGCGACCAGGTAGATGTTTTCGTGTTTAACATGACTGAAGGTCGTGGAGCCTAGGGTTAGGATGGGCGAGCGGACTTGGGGGTTGGAGATGACTTGGATGCGGAAGATGTCGGCGAGGCGCGGGCGGCAGTCGCTGCGGAAAGCGCGGAAAATCAGGTTCTCGCCCTTTTGGTTGAAAATGAGGATACCGGAGAGCATGGTGAAGGGGCGCTGCGGAGGATGAGGGGCGGGAGGGGGGTGGAAGGAGAAGTAAGTAGAAGAAGAAAGGAAAGGGGGGAACGGAGAGGAATGAGGGGGCCGCGGAGAGAGAAGGTGAAGTCGGTCTCGACCGGCGGAGGCGATGGATGCGGTTTGCCCGCCGACACTACTACTACTACTACTCGAATCACTGCAGCTCTTTTCGATGCGCACTTCGAGTGGCCAGTCAGTATATATTTTACTGTATCCAATTCTTCTGTGAATTTGGTGAAAACTTGGCGATCAAAACTTCGATGTTCTAATCCGTAAATATAAGTCATGGCGACACAACACTCACATACGCAATGGTTGCTCGAGCTGTCAAGGATGAGCATCGACAGCTCAAGTCTAGATAGTATAACTCTCGTCCATGGAATCGATGTGTTCGCGTATTGAGAGGAACCCGTCATTCAGCTTCTGGTTAGTATTTTTGTTTTCGGGTGCAAGTGAGGTGAGGCAGTAAGAGGTATATAACTTAACAAAAACACAGTAACTGGATAGTTCTTTCGGCTTCTTCTCACGGCTGCGTCGAAGTAGGGCATATAATCTCTTTTGGAAGATTGACAAATCCCTGATGGTGCGATGGCTCAAGTAGCATGTTGAGAAGATGGTGTTCTTTTATCGTATAGGCTACCGACTGGTATTATATGGTCTCATGCGTCTAAAGGGCTAAAGGCAACCGATGTAAAGTCGGAGGATCGATGTCGAATCGAACACCAAAAGAGGACGCTTAGTACACTGTGTGCGGAGGCGCCTACGAAATACTACGTTCATGTATGTGCAGAATCAAACTTGACTAAAGAGGGCGTTGATCTCGAGATCAACCGTGGCAATTTGAAATAGGTATTATGTATGCTCGCGTTATTCCCGACTACAGCTCTATGTTAAGCTTTTTCCGGGTCTTTGACTGTCGAGCATACTAGATGTATATATACACAGCTCATATAGGCACCTAAATACATACAGACAGTAACACACTGAGGGTTGGGAGGTTGTGCTATGCTCGTCTCATGTGCTGGCCGGATGTGCTGTCCACGAGTCGGCATGGAGCGACAGAATGCAACATGCCACTCCGTACTTTCGAAATCAGCAAAACCTCGTAGCGCTGGTTCACATTGCGATAACATGGACTGACGCCCACATGGCGGGTATCAAGGTTAGGGCATGGATATCATGACGGCGAGTCCAGTATCAAAAGAAATCACAAGAAAAAAAGAGAGAGAATAAAATCTCGGAGATCGGAGTTCGAACGCAATCCCCCCTTCCCAACGAGACATATTAAAAAGGCGTAGATGATTAAAGGAAGTCGTAGAGAATGTAAAATGGGACTCAAGACCGCAGATGGCGATCTGACAGAAATCGTGCGGAAATTCCATCAAACGCCGCTGCTCGGCCGGGTCCCTGGAAGCGACGGAACTCCCTCACTGCGGATGATGCCAACCTTAGGATCCGGAATCTGGATGTCCAGCGACATGTACGCCGTCCTGCGGAGACTCCAGATATGTACTCCGTCCTTGGCCCCGACCTCTCTGTTCCACCTCTCCAGCCACGCTTCCACCCGTTTGAGATGGCTCTTGATTCCTGGCGCGCCTATGTCTTCCCAAATCCATCCCGTCAGAAGGCTCAGCGCACTATCGATGAAGTTGCGAAGGCTGAACGGATCGAACGCCTTAACGAGCTCATCATTCACTGTGGCGATCACCTTTCGAAACTCTTGTTCGGGTAATAGCGGGTCCAGAATCTCGGGGTACAGGTTGGAGAATGTGGGAGCTAGGTCTCCCTTGATCATCCAATCACGCCGGATTCGTATGATGCGGGTGGTCATGTACTCGTCAGACCCAATCGGAACATGTGGGTTGATGTGAGGATAACACGGATGCGCAGGGCCCCAGGCCAACTCCTCCGCCACATCAGCCTCGCCGCCATTCTGAGCGCCGGTAATGGATGGTACAGATGCAATGTGTGACTGTGATCGAAGCGAGGATTGCGACTGGATGTGGCGGGGCCGGTCGTCGTGAAGCGGCCCAGGCCCGTCTACCGCGAGATCGAGGCCTAGATGCGCCCGTTCCGGAGCGCGAGGGTTCTTTACCTCCGGGGCACCATTTGATACTCCCGACTCGGACATTTCTCGTAACACCAGCTGGTCGTCAAATGCGCCACTGCGCCTCTGGCCACGAGGCACTGCGATGCTGGAGCGTCCACTCTCCGTTTCCCCTTGGCTGCGCTCCACCACCAGACTGTTCGGGGATGGGATCGGTCGACTGCGACGCCGTTCGGGGATAGTCAGCAAAGGGTAGGCGTCTCGGTGTGCGTCGAGTGGGAGGTTCTCGTCGGAGAGCTGCGACAGATGGGGTACCGTGACCGGAGTGTTGCGGGGAACGTAATTGACAGGATTTGCAAGTCGCACTGACGGCGGGCGCAAGATCGTGGGAGGTATCCAGGAACTCTTTCGTCGATATGAGAATCGTGCTTGGGAGGAGCTCGCTGCGGTGAACTGATCGGAGGATGTGGGGGGATGTGCCTCGAAGGAATGGCACCGAACGCGGAGGCCTCGCGGGGGATGATGGGATGCTTCTTTAACCGGGGGCGATGATGTTGAAGGGTCCGTTTGTGAGGCGAGAGGGGACGTTTTCGATGAGGAAAACGACCGAGGGGGCCGCGAGGCGCGCTTAGATGGCGGAGAGGCCGTGGTGGACGAGGAGAGGAGAGACGTTGTGGTGGGAAGATTAGGAAATGATGTCGATGGCCCAAGGATAAGAATCGATCGCAGCGGGCGGCTTTGATTGGCGGGTGAGGATCGAAAAGGGGCGCGGCAAGGGACAGAAGATGATCTGAGCACGACATTCAACGATGGAAGATGGAAACGATGCTGGTCAAGACGAAGTTAAGTTAAAAGGGAAAAGGACCTCGAATGGCCCTCTCCGACTGTCTGGTGGAAGCAAGAGGAGGTATAATGAATGAATGGGAATGGAGTAAAGGAAAGTACCCAGTCAGTAAATAGTCGGTAGTTAGTATCTACTCCCTATATACACAACTTGCTCTCACTACTAAGTAGGGAGGATGATGATCTCGATGATGAGGTGACTCCACCCACAAAAGAATGAATGCAGTGGGATTGAAACGAGTGAGTAGTATAGTTGACGGTTTCAAAGATTGTCTCAACTGCTAGGCCGAGAAAAGAGGATGGCCATGGCTCTTATTATTGTAGCGGAATGAGTTCGCCCAGAGGCCCATCCTTTATCCACCGGATCCCGACTCGAAACAATAAACGAGTCAATAGCCCAAGTAAGGCTCCAACCCAACGCGGGAACCGGACCACAACTACCTCGATTTTTCCAAAGTTAAAAATATATCCCTAGTACGGAGTACTACCGAGTGGTATTGCATCCATCCATACTAACTATTCATTCATCCGTCCACCCAAAAAATGGTTGTGCAGCAAATCAGGTACCGCCGACCCTTGGATCAGATGGATTGATTGGCAGGTCCCCTCACAGCACGGTCCAATGTTCTTTTTTCTCTTAGACGGCCAAGGACAGGGCGAGCGATGAATGGCACCCTCATGGCCAAGGACAAAGGCAGTCCGAGTCTGAATTAGATTAAATATTGGCCTGGGATGGAATTAAAATGAAGCTTGATCGCTTTCCTTCCCCCGTGCCATGACGTCGCCCGGCAGTCTTTTTGGGGTTCTGGCCACGGGACTATCACGTGAACTCATTGCTTCTCTACCAATCAGAACCTAGAAACATCTTCACTGCCGGAGCTCCCCTCTCCAATCCAGTCAAGTCTCTCGCTTCACTCACTCCATCAAGGACTTTCAATCAATTGTCTATACTTCGCTACTGCAGGCTCCCTTCGGCCACAACAAGGGGACCAAGTAGAAGCATTTATCTCTAACCACTCTGTTTTATTCCAAGCCAAGACGGGTGGGACGTTCTGAGCATCCTTCGTTTGTACCTCCCAGTCAAAGTGTTCGCACCCATCCATGTCGGACCCTTCCAACGCAGCTTCCGTCTCCTGCATTTGACGCGGCCTCCGCTCGCCATCTGCAATACCAGTATTACTTTGCGCGTTACAAGCAGCTGTGGCCCAGCCCAAATCTATCGTCCTTCATTTCTGCGTTTGTACCATCAACGGTGTGAAGGAATGAAAGTAGCAACGCTGCAGTTTGCCCCTCGTTTGGGCGATGTCGATGGCAACATCAAGAGAGCCAATGAGCTGCTCAAAGACGGGAAGGTAGTGCGGGGCGTTGGAATTGGGGTTGGACTTGATCTCCTGAAGCCGGATGTTTTGATTTTGCCCGAGTTGGCCTTGACGGGTAAGTGTTACTCTGTCCTCCCCACGAACGTCACACGACGCATGAGCTTCGGGATGTTTGTGCTCGGTGGCTTGTTCAGTGCGTCTTAGCCTGGAGCTCTTACCTCTACCGACATCCATTGAGATTCCCTTCGCCCCCGGAATTTTCTACGCAGCACGGTCATTAATTCGGTCAGGATACAACTTCCCCTCGTTGGAGGCTATAAGACCCTTCCTTGAGCCCGTTGGACAAGGTCCTTCAGCGCAGTGGGCTCGAGAAACGGCCAAACGCTTACAATGCAAAGTCTGTGTGGGCTATCCGGAAATTTACACAGAAAATGGTGCCCAACAGGCTAATTCAACTAACTCCACGGAGACTTGCTACAACTCCCTGCTGGTGGTGGACGAAAGTGGTGACATTGTCCTAAACTACCGTAAATCGTTTCTATACTACACGGATGAGACGTGGGCGGCAGAGGGCAACCCGCAGCAAGGCTTCCACCAGCTCTCCTTCCGAAACTCAAATCAAAGCTCGGTGGAGTCCCAGATAGCTACCTCTTTCGGCATCTGTATGGACATTAACCCATATCGATTCGAGGCTCCCTTCACTGCCTGGGAGTTTGCCAATCGGGTCCTGGATACGAAGTCCGAGCTGGTCATACTCTCTATGGCTTGGTTGACTTTGTTGGAGCGGGACGAGCTCGACTCGCTTGCTGATGAGCCGGACTTGGACACGTTCAACTACTGGATCCAGCGATTTATGCCGCTTATCAGGAAGAAGATGGGCCATGAAACCAACTTTGATGGCGATGATGCTAATCGCGGAAAGAAGATCATCATTGTGTTTGCAAATAGAGCCGGAGAAGAACCGGGTGCCGAAGGGACGAACCCAGCTCGGTATGCGGGCACGAGTGCTATCGTAGCAATCACACAGAAACCACCATCCCGTACATCAGGTAAGGAAACTTCTTCTAAAGAAGGAGACCCTGGTGACGATACGGATGCCGCTGAAACAGATGCACCGTCATTTGATACGAAAATCCTGTGTTGGGATATGATGGGTGCGACGACGGAAGGTATTTGTTTTGCCGACACTACGGCAGACCCCAGTATGGTGTTTGGATTGGTCAAAGCTTCAAAATGACATTCCAACTGCACATGAGGCTAAAGCCACCTCAGAATTGGTGGGTTGCAGCCTGGAGTGGTGCCCTTCCTATGAATTCTATTTCAAATGGCGTCACTTGAGTCGGCGTTCGTAAATCACATAGATCGTATACTGGGGTTGCCTTGGACGTGGATAAAACCCGAATAAGAGTCGCAATGCATGTCCAAGGATCTATTGTCTGGCACGATAGGAAGTCGTGTATTCGCCCTTTCCCCCTGCTGTGTAGGAAGCTTATCAGGGCACCAGTCTCTCGCTTACTTGTTCTGTTCCATGCGCTTTGGGCTCCCCACCCTGTCCTTTGACCTAGTGGGCTTCTTATCGGAGAGCGAAGTGCATATCGTCAACCGACCGACCGACAGACGGGCAGGTTCCAAAGTCCCGAGTTGCCACAGTGAGCCATGATCTATCATGTGAGGCACTTTCTGGCCCCAGTCAGACTCGACCATCATTCATGTGACAGGAGATGGCAACTCGTCATTGTCACTTGGCTGTTTATTCGCATTGGAGCGACCAAGGCGAATCTAGACTCATTTCTGCTCTCCAAAGAATACCCGCCGACTACACAGTAAATGTATACTATCCTCCAAGGTCGATTGCGGCAAGACCCCCGGATGATCAGAGGGCTCCGAACAATGATCGCTACAGCAAGCTAAAGTACCTAATGGTAGAGTATCCACTCCAGCATCTTATCTCATGACCAACTGATCAGCGACGTCAGATGGACTCCTAGTTCCTCAGAGTCAACTGCTGAACCTTGGAAGGAGGCTTTTTTTTCTCTTCCTGTCGGGTACCCCCCCGTTTCTGCATGCAACCCTTGACGCGCATCCCTAGGCAAGGAAAGGTAGCATATTTCGGAGGATGCGCGGCCATCTTAGTGAGGAGAAGGCTAGTAGAGATCGCGACGAGGGTTCTGATAGGTTGCATTGCGCACACATGTGACGGTTGGAGTTAGCGGACAGCCTTGGAAAGATTGAGAATTGACCCGGGTTGGTTCGAAAGAAAACAGAGTTGCTGCGCAATGGGGCAGGGCATGGAGGCCCATCGTGGCTTGATCGTGCCAAATGGAGGGTAGATTGCGGCCCTCCCTGCCACCAGTACTTTGTAGACTGACGATTGGAAGTCACTGATAGTATCTATGACCCGTTCGCAGAAAACAGGGGGCACAACGGCAGGTGGACGACTGGACAGTCAGATCATGACGACATACATAGAAAGTTCAGACTGCGAAAGAGATCGGCGGCTAAGGGGAGGGGGGGATCAGAGACAAGCCACCACAGTAGTGACTCTTTTGAGACTTTGGTGCTGACTCGACTTGAAATAACTCATTAGTACTCCATAGATAGTCACTAGTTGTAACTACTGTCCAGTAACTGGTTGCTACTTGGAAGGGACGGGCCGACCGGGATGAGCAGGCACCCTCCACGGCGCAGCGACGTTTCCACTCCAATAAATGGACTTCTGCAGGAATTAACAGGACATTCCCCCATTCGATCAGTGCTACTGTATGTTCTTGAATAGACCGATCGCAGGACACTAGAGAAGTCAGAAAGGACACCAATCAGTCCCCTTTTCCCCTTTCGAGCCAAGAGGGCTGCCGGGTTCCACGTGATTCCGGGTGAACCCCTCCTCCGACCACCGGGACAGAGGAGGCCTGCCGACCAATCAGAATTGGTGATCGAGGAGTTGGGTGAGGAGGGGGCACGGGATGGCAGCACCTGACAATTTCTGTGATGGAGAAGGAGGGAATGGGAAGAGGAAAACCGGTTGGAGCGGAGGTGAAGGGGTGGGGGTGGTGAGGGAAGGGAAAATAGGAAGATGATATTGTGCCAGGATAAAAAAAACTCAATGAGCATGATGTTTACAGAAAATGGTTGGTATTGGTGGTGGTATGATTCCGGGCTGGCCTCACTTGAACAAGAGAGACTGCTTACTTACTACTAGTAAGTTTATTAGGTTTCTACTTTACTGTAAGTGATCAGAATAACCCTCCTCCCCCTTCTCTTTTATTGTCTGTTTTGGATAAGGTACTACAGTAGCCCTGTTTTTGGAGGTAGAGAAGTTGAGTTACATACTATTTACATTGCAGCAGGTACCACGGGAGTATAACATTAATAACCAACTGGTTAGTTAGTTAGTTACTATCAATACTCCGTGACTTTTTGACTTTTGGGAAGGGTGGGGTCAGGTGATCGGCCTGGCGTTACATAACTACTCACATTATCCTTTACTTTTACACCTCGGGTCCATTTGGGTCACCGTAGCGGGCGGTTCTCCTCTCTTTGATTCTCGTCCTTCGTCCCTCGCCACGTGAGCAGTCCCTCTCTACTCGACTCTCTCTCTACTCCTCCATGTATCCCTTTTTTCCATTGTAAAATCCGCCACAACTTTTTGCTTGTTTTCAAAGCCGATCCGTCCGCTGTCTTTGATGTGGATGCTTCGATCCCGACCATTTCTTTCGTGAACAAATTTCGTTCTCCAGCTTCTGCGATCGAACCGGTGTCTTCCCTCTTGTTGTTGCCCGTGGCAGGTGACTTGCTGTCAGGTGATAGATAGACCATCCCAAGGTAATCAATCCAGCTCTCCCTCTCCTCCCCTTCGCTCGCGCTGTGCCCCTCTACTCTCTTTCGCCTCTTGTCTGCTCCGCGGTTCTTCCACGGCCATCAGCATCGCCATAGCATTATGGCTTCTGCTTTGGCATGCCCCCTTGTCCTCTCCTTCTCCGACATGGCCCGGTCGGGCGATGGCCGAGGATGATGATGCTGTTTTTTCCCGCTTCCATCGGTCGCAAAGACGTCTTCGCGACGCGTCGCCGATCTCGCTCCCATCTCAGGGACTTGCTCTTCATCTCCTCATGTGCCCGTGCTGCTGCTTTCACTTCAGTGTCATCTCTCGTTTGTAGTTGTATCTCTGCTGGTGGTCGCGCCGGTCGCGCCGTTCATCTTGTGTTCGGTGCTTGTTGGTGCTTGGATGCGGAGGTGGGCGCGTCAGCAAACGCGTTACTAGCTCACAACCCGTTCAGATCTGGCTCACCTGTGCACCCCAGCAACTGTAGCCCTTCACTGGGACTATCCAATGGCTCCACCGCAATTCAATGAATGCTACCATTTTTCCCCCTTGCAATAGTGTTGCTTTGTTCATCCGCCCGGATCATTTCCTACACCATCTTGAACCGTACTGATCGTGCAAAAGCAACTTGGTTACTAACAGAACTTCTAGAGTTAACGGGAATTGCCTAATCTCTCCGATTAGGCCCCTAGAGCTGGAGCGAAACTCTGGTAACTTCACTGAATCCCTATCGTTAGCAGGTAAGTGCGTTTCGAAGGTGGTGGCTGGCTCCCGAAATGACGCGCCGTGATACTAACTGTTACGCACAGGGCAGTCATATCATACATACCTAACGATGTCTGATCCGTCGTTGGGTGCTACCGATGGTAGTGTTACGGCCAAGCGAAAGCGCGATAGTACCGATAGCACCGGTCCAGATGCCCAGCGTCTGAATCGATCTTCCAATGGGAGCAACGGCAGCATTCCCGCCCCCGACACTCAGCCGAACTTCGCCCATAGCTCTCTTGGATCTTATGACACGCATCTTCCAAGTGCTACAACAGAACTCAACATCGACCAGCAAATCCTGCAGCATGTTGGTCCTCAAAACGGTATCTCAGATGATAACGCCCTCACTGCTAAGGCGGCACTCGCCGCCCACACCCCTCAGAACAAATACCCGCCTCCCCCTGATGCGACCTTTGACAACAATCTCGCCCATGGCTTGACGTTTGGAGACGATATGGGCCAGGCTATCGGCTCCGCACATGGTCACAATTCTACTGCTGCCGCCGTCTACGCTGCTCGCGAAGCGCAGAGCATGAACCAGAAGCCTTCTGTAGGTTCTCCCGAATGGCATCAGATTCGGAAAAACAATCACAAAGAAGGTACAGCAATTTTTCCCCCCTCTCCACTTCTCATAGTGCATCCATTGATAAAGACTTAGTGGAGCGGCGGCGCCGTGAGGCGATCAATGAGGGCATCAATCAGATCGCTCGCCTTGTCCCCAACTGTGACAAGAACAAGGGTGCCATTCTGCAACGCGCAATCGAATATATATGCCAACTACACGAAGAAAAGAAAGCCATGAGTGAACGTTGGGACCAAAACAATATGACCACGAGCCATGCAATCAACGAAATCAGCTCGCAGAACTCCAAACTGAAGATCGAAGTCAACCGTCGCGGTGACATTGCGCTGAAGTGGTTGCAGCGCTGCCGCGACGCAGGTCTTGATTTCGAAGACTACGAAGACTCGAAGGAGCTGGAGCCCCTTGACATTGACCAAGGCCAGGTTTAATCTCGACTAACGTGCATTACTGCGCGTGCAGAGAATGTAGTGTGAGGATCACTGCATTATCTCGTTCCTTTATATTCACATGTGCTACGACTTGTTTACCTTGGGAGGCATGAGACAGCATCGATCTTGTCGCTTGCTTTCCTCTTCCTTTTTTCCCCCATTTAACACTTTATCCTAACAGCTTCTCCTCTTTCATTGAACAGACCTTGCCTGATCTCTCCCTGTTTCCACTTTTATTTTCCATGTCAGTTATTTGCAAGGTACAGTCTTACGATGTCCGGTTTTTGTTGTGAGGGAGAACGATGTGGTTCTCCAATCTCTATTTTAATTGCCTAGCCTGGGGTGGGTATCCTGTTTCTATTTCCCCCGTATCTGCTTTTACCCCTGCTGTGATTCTTTCTGTATGCTATTTTTAAGGATGGGACGGCGAAACTATGGCTGGGAGTGGATGATCCGATGGCCATGTAGCCTAGGACACCACGGCGTGTTATCGGAATGCAAGCTCATTTCAAGTCTGATCTCGGTATGATTCTAGTAATGATTTTGCAAACAGAGCATATATCGGACGAGTAATTCAACATAAGAGTGATTTGTCCAGCTGATCTTAGGTCCTGTCTGCAATGGAACCAAGAGAGTAGTAGATTACATGCAGCAACATACATAACCGATCAATCACTCTAGGATTCCCCAGTACCGGTGTCTCTTTTCCCCTTGTTCCATTAACTCATAGAGACACATTCCCCCAACCATTCACACACACTCCATTTATTTTCTTTTCTCTCTTCCAATTTCATCCCCTGCCCCATAGCATTACCTACCATCAACCGCATAAGCAGTAATTACAACTGTCCAACAATTCGATTTACCTGGTAATACATAGATGATACACCACCACCATTACGTACTAATAACTAGCCACCGTACCATATCCGAACCTCCTTTCTCATACATACATACATTAGATAATAAGAAACATAGCCCCTGGCAGTCTATGTCCCGACCACACGACGACACCTGAGTATAAGTGTCGCATTCATTCATCCAAATCGCATCGCTTAAGTTACTAGCCGCACGTCCCATCCGGGTCTCTTGTGATTTGCGCTGTTGAATCAATCAATCAATCAATCCTTTTATCACGTGAATTACATACATACATACATACATACATACATACATCCTCATGCGAAACGAAGTGTGTGTGATGATTCCAAGTTTGGCCGAGATCTGAGATCAAGAAGGATAATCATCCGATTTCTTTTCCTTCTTATATCTTCATTCTTTTGATTGGTGAAGTTGTTTTGCTTAGCTAGCTAGGTAGTAGTAGTAGTGTTGGATTGAATCGAAAGAGTGGGTTTGTAGCATGATAGGCTGAGAGTGCAGTGAGTTGAATTGAGTAGGGTAGTAGATGATAGTGATGACTATTTTATTATAGTGTAGTATGATAGTCAAACAGTCGTGGCTAGAGAAGGAGACCTTGATGGATGTGGGGCGATATATAACATGAATGGTGTCATTCTTGGACATAAGTAGTAATAGTGGTAACCTAAGAGGTTTTCGAAAAGAAAAAGTATATACAGGAAAGTTTATAAGAATTGTGAGAAGAAGCCCCCAAACAAAGCGCTAATACACCAAAGAAGCAGAAGCATGACCAAACCCGGCACACACACTTCTAGAGAATTAAATTTTTAAGAAGAGTACAACATCATATCCCGTCATCGCAAACACCCAGTCAGTCAAGTCAGGTCACCAATTTACTCAAAGTTGGAGGAAGCAGTGACAGACGAGCCAGATGAGACGCTGACGTTCTTGACGGTGATCTGAGAACCACCCTCGGCAGTGACACGGACATCGACGGTGTCGGTACCGAAACCGCTCTGGTTCTCGAAGTAGTTGTAGGAGGAACGGGTGGTGGATTGCCAGGTGCTACCGCTGTCGGTGCTGACCTCGAGCTTGGTGACGGGGAGGTTGGAGTTGACGACCTGCATGGCGAACCAGTAGGCGGAGGTACCGCTCTTGTTGACCAGTTCGATCGGGGAGGTGATACCACAAGCAACGTATTCCCAGTCGATGCTGATAACGCCCTTGGAGATGTCGGCCAGCTCGGAGAAGGCGCTCTCGAAGAGATCGAGGTGGTTGGAGTCGCATTCGGGACATTCATCGACAACCTTGAAGTTTGTTAGAGACAGGAACGAAAGGACGTAGGGAAGCAGTGCTTAGGAGGTAAGACTTACCATGGCCTTGATCTTGGTACCGCTAGGGCCAGTAACCTCGACACAAGCACCGCATTCCGCTGCGTTGTCCCAGCGTTGGGAGGAAAGTGCCGTGCCGAAGAGGCCAGAGGGGATAGTGTAGTCGGTGAACGAGCAGGTTCCACCCGAGACGTTACCGCCGTAGAAAGTTGCCTCACCCGAGTACTCGGAACTCAGGGCACTGCTAGAGGTGGAAGAGCTAGAGCTGGAGGCAGACGATGTCGCGGCGCTAGCAGCGGTTGAGCTAGAAGTAGACTTGGATTCGACGGTAGTGGCTGCGGCCTGGGTAGCAGCAGCTTCGGTAGTGGCAGCCTCAGTGGTAGCGGCCTCAGGGGTAGACTGAACAACGGCTTCGGTGGTAGCAGCAGCCTGAGTAGTAGCAGCTTCGGTGGTAGCGGCAGCAGCAGCCTGGCTAGTGACAGCCTCGGTGGTAGCGGCTTCAGGGGTAGGCTGGGCAGCAGCTTCAGTGGTCGCGACAGCTTCAGTAGTTGCAACCTCAGTGGTGACAGCCTCAGAGGTAGGCTCAGCGGCAGCAGTAGTTGCGGCAGCATTAACAGCAGCATTGGTCGTCACCTCAACGACCGAGGAAGAGGAAGAGGAGGTAGCCTCCACAGCAGCGCTAGTCTCAGCAGCAGGGGAAGCTTCGGCAACGGATGAGGTGGTGGCAACTGGTGCAGCGCTCTCGACCGCGGAGCTCGTGGTGGCGACCGCAGGGGTTGCAGTCACGACCTCAGTCACGATGACGGTTGAAGACGAGTGCAAAGTAGTAACCTGATCAACCGAGGTAGAGCTTGACTCGACAGCAGGGGTTGAGGTTGACTCAACAGCAGGAGCAGAGGCTGGCTCGACGGATGCAGTTGAAGTGGGCTGGAGCGTAATCGTCTTGTAGTAGACGCTCTGAGTGTAGCCAACGGGACATTGGCCTTCACCTACACTGGCGAGCGTAGAGGTTGGCGCGGTTGGCGCAGTAGAGGAGGGCTGGAGAGTGATAGTCTTGTAGTAGACGCTCTGGGTGTAGCCTTGGGGGCATTGACCCTCAGCTTCACGGTTCAGCAGTGGGTTGGCAGAGACCGTCGCAGCGGCACTCAGGGCAGTAAAGCCCAAAGAGGCGAGGCGTTGATACTTCATGTTTGGAAGATGGAGAAAAGTGTCTCAGACAAGGTGCCAAGAAATGAAATAAAGAATGGATGTCTTTCTCGCTTTGCCGGCCAAGAGATGGCGTGGAATCACAGTAAAGACAGGACGTGTAGTCAACACAATAATGGTCAGTAAGAATGAATGGACGGGATTTCAAATCCCAGGGTGTAGAATCTGCTGTTCCAGACAGAATGGCAAAGGAGTGACAAAGAGAGAGGAAGCTGAGAAAAGAAGGAACTTCGCAGAATAATAAGAGGCGAGGGAAGGAGAACGAGCGTTCGGGGGCGTCTGGCCCCAGAGCCAGGATAGTGTGATCCATCAGCAACCATCAATCTAAGGAAATGAACAGTCGTAAAGTTAGCGCCTTAACTTTAATGACACATAAGCCCGAAGGAAGGCAGCAGCGATTTCGTTCGCGCACCGCGAAATGAGATCGCAATGTGAAACGCCGGGCGTGGATCACCACATTGAAAGACCAGGGAATTGGAGCAGAACTGATGGAGAAGCGCCGCCGCTGGGTCTTCCCTTTGCTCCGCACGTCTTAGATGTTGGCCAACATCAATGGCTTCTGATATTGAGTAATTAAACTACACGGGCCCGACCCACTGCTCGGAAATCACCTAACGGCCAGAGAAAATTGCCCGGCTAGTAAGCAGTCGGGAGCGATTGCCTCCCCTGCACCAAGCCGCCAATAGCCTGACCGAGAGCTCCAGGGGTGTTCAAGCCGGACTCACCTTTGGCTAACCAGCTTTAGTCCAGGGTAAACAAAGGGAGTGGAAAATATGGGCTGATGGCGGCAAAAAGAACCATCAACCAACGGAGGGCTAGCAATGAACGGGGGATCCATCCGCTCCGCGGCATCCCGCAGTGGGTCGGGTCTCTGCTGTCGGGAGTTCGTTCACCAAAAAATCTCAATAACATACTTTATCAAAAAGATCTTAATCTCCGTTGGTTACTGTTGAGAGTGTTGTCTAGCTTTCTAATCAGGTAGGGTCTTCAATCGGATAACCATAAGCGTCCAGGCATGGCCTCCATTGCGGGCTGTGTCCCCAGCACAGTCCTGGTTTGAAGCCGCATATAGTCTCTCCGTCACTTGGAATCCCACATTACCTCGTTCAACCTCAAGAGCGCATCGGCGCTGGCTTTCTTTGCTGCCATGAACTCTTCCCGATTCTCTGCACCTCGGGGGCCTAGTAGAATGTCTGAGAAGCAAAGGTCAATGAGGACCTTGAGTTCGTCGTACGTGAACGGTTCGCCATTACCAGCGGCCAGCGCTTGGTCTCCGTGGGTTGCGAACGATTCCTTCTCATCCTTTGCGTAGTCTAAGGCTTTTTCCGCACCTTCCAGGAACCAATCGAGGAATTTAGCGCTACGAGGCAAAGCAACCACCTCGGTGTGCTCACTATTCTGCTGTGAGTTAGGAATGTCATCTTTCCGTCCATCATCTGTTGGGTCTATGATGATGTTCTTCAGATTCTGTTGCAGCACTAGCACGTCTAGCTGCAGTCGGAGCGCGCCATTTTCGTTCATAGCCCCAATATGACAGGTGTTCGCGACGAAAGTACGGTCGATGAATCGAGCAAGCCCAGACGTGATGAACCATCGCTCAGGTGG